ATAGTAATTATCAGAACATTAAAAAAAAAAAAAGAACGAGTCAAAAAGTAAAGGCCATGACCAAATTATTGGCATTTAAATGAGATCTAACTAAAATAAATTTGCCATTTATTGCTTTCCAAGTTTATTTCCGTCACTCTTTATCTAAAATAATTTTATAAAATTAGAACATGAAAATTTAGACACTTAAGAAACTTAACAACCAGTGGTACCAGAATATTACAAATGTTACACTAATCTAACTTATTTTTTAATCAACCAAAACTAATCATTTACTTATGATGCTTTTGCCAATTACTTTCCAGGCTGAAAACTGTGCTAAATGAAACTTGATTACAAATAACAGCAAAAAACAAAGAATTAGTCATTAAGGATAAGAAACTTTTTTTCTCTAATAAACAAGTGTATAAAACCGTCGTTTTTGGCTGTTAAGGGTCCCCGTTTTGAGTCGTAATTGTCATGATGTCATATTTCGGGTTGTGGAAATGGGTGTGGCCTTGTGGTTTCCTTGTGTACTCTGGAACTGTGTGAGGTGAGTGAAATAGAAGCTCCAATAATTAAGAAATTGGCAGGCTTTATTGTGATTTGACTAATTTAAAAACTGTGTGAAATTTTGAGAATGTCTTAAGTCGTACTTTATTTAACATCAAAATGAAAACAAAGTTATACCAAAAAGAAATTAAGTTATAACAGACATTTGAAAGTATAATTATTATAACATAAAACAGATACCAAGACACAATACTGTATGAATCACATTCAAGAAAAATATGAAGAGGACAGTGTTAATTCTAAAATACCACAATGTAGAAATGTCAGGGAAGTCCGTAAATGTTACTAGTAGTAATAAACAGCTTTTATGATGTACTATACAAAATTTTACTACATACATACAAAGTGAATAGTGCATTGACTATTTTTTTTTCTCAAAATTGTGTTTTATATATGGCTTTACTTTTGATTATTTAATTACAAGATATGTAAACATTTAGTATGTATAATATTCCTACTTAGTTAGTTTAGTTTTAAAAAAATATCACGATTATATAATAATTAATCATTCCTACTCTCCAGTTAGAAATTATAAGTTAATTTCAGCCTCATCACAATTAACAATCCTTCTCAAGACCTCTAAAGACAACAGTAGTATTCTGATAAGCTCCTACTCTACAGAATCTGAAAGAAATTCATTATTAAAAATACAAAATATTAAATTGGGGGAATTCAGTCTATATATGATATATTTGGGTTTTAAAAGGTGTACTTTTTTATGGAAAATTTTGAAAATTAATTGCTCATTAGAACATGAAAAAAAAATCAGTTTTATCTCATTTTATTGTTAGTCCTGAGCAGCTATGGATTTTGAATCCAAGGAAAATTTTGAAAAAGCTAGATCCAGATAAACAGACTTTGCCTACTGAGTCTGAATCTCTGGTATCTCCCACACAAGAGGTTTTAGTCAGAGCAGGTGAGTGTTAAATAAAAAACTGTTGGGTGGATGAATGCTATATTTTTATGATTGAGTTTCTTCCTAATTTATTGTTTTTGAACCGTGGAAAATGCATTTTTAAACGTTGATGTAAAAGAAAAAGTTCTGTTAAGAGAAGCAGTCTGAAAAATTAAGAGGAGATGGTTCAAAACATTTATCAAATAAATTTATGAATGATAAGCACTGGCTTTAAGTTTGTTTTTTTAATTTATTTATTAATAGTTTTAGTTTAGCTTTATAGGATGGACCAGTAGGTCCCATGTTGTCCCAAAACGTTATGTTATGTGATACACATTCAAACCTAAAACTTAAGAGCGTGCATATTTCTTTTGATACAGTCGTAAGTTGGTCACAGACTTGTGATTACATAAGAAAAGAGGATACCATCAAAAAACAAAGTAGCTTATTCCACTTATGTAGTAGTAAACTAACTTCTTACCCTAAAGCTCAACAAAGAGTATGCATATTGAGGGTAAAAAAGAAATGTGTTTACTGTAACTGTTACCTATGCTAAGTACTAAAACCCAAAAACACCATTGAACTTTTATTTAAGTGAAGCATAAAATATGTACAAATAACTGGTTATGCAAAAGAGGCTATGTGCACATGAATTTGATTATTAGTATATTAAAGGTGTCAGTTTTATTTTAAAACTAGACATAAATTGCTTACATCAGCATTTTCCAGGGGAGCACAAGTGATCCTTAAGGGAGAGTGCTAGCAATTACGAGAGTCAATAGTGCAATAATTTAAAGTTAAATGTTTTAATATATTTTTTATTAATGAAAATAATAAGTAATTACTACAACACACACAGCATTTTGATGCATATCTGTGTATTACATCTCATCATTTAACTCGTTTTTTCACTCATTTAAAAAAAAAGTGGGTGGGTGGGTGTGAAGGAAAGCATAATTATTAAAGTTGGGCATGAATGACTAAAGTTTGGGAAATGCTGGCTTACATAAACATCTAAATTTAGGTACATCGCAAAATTTGATCACTGAGCAGTCTTTGCCATCCTGTATATTTTGTAGATGTTATTTTTAAAGAAAGTGATTTTCTACTCTAGATCTCGGTGTATCTTTAGAGAAGCTATCTGAATGTTGGATCTGTTATGACTCTGAAAGACAGGATGTAGGGCCTTTGATCCAGCCATGCCTCTGTAAAGGGGATGTGTCTGTAGTTCATCATGACTGCTTGAAGAAGTGGCTGGTTCAGGTAATGCAGTTCATATTCACTAACTCCTTTACATGTAAGCTATTTCTCTTTATAAATATGATTAATTACTTATTGTTACTACTCAGTTTTAGATATTTCAGTGTATGTATGATAATAATATCAAGTCTTTTCGGTTAATGGAATGCTCGGTAGCAAAAGTGTACATGTTGTTTAGAAAAGCTTACTTGTGGGAATAATATAAAAGCACAAAATTATACTTTTTTTTGGGGGCAATTTTTTTTCTTAATTTTACAATATATTTTTTCAGTCTTCAGAAAACCCAGACAACACAAGATGCAAAGTTTGTAAAGAAGAGGTATGTTATTGCTATGTTGTAATAATTAAAATCTTCGGTTATTTTCCACAACTTTAAGCCTATCATGTTCTAGTATAACAATCATGATCACTTATAGAATTATACACGGACTTTTCTCCACATTAATATATGTTTAATTGCGAGCTCTAGGCCCTCTTACCAGAGCCTTCATGCGGCAACAATGTACTGATTTGTTGATTTGTTTTGTATACTGATATTGTGTATTTCCACAGTTTAACGAATATTATCGCTCAGTACATTGTTGCCTGATGAAGGTTCTGGTAAGAGGGACGAAAGCTAGCAAATAAAAGAATTTTAACATAGAGAAAAGTCTGTGTATAATTCTACATATTAATTATCCTACGTTATGAGTCTTAAACAAAAGTCATGATCACATGTAATTTTCCTTAAGTCTGAGACAATGCATGCTATAAAGTTATTTTAATTAAGTAGGCAGTAATTTTACATTGTAAATTGGTTACTAATATATTAATATATATATATATATATATATATATAAAACATTTCTTTCATAATGTGTAATATTTAGTAACTTAGGTGTCAGATAGATGTAGTAGAGTGGTATATGTTGGATAAAATAACTGTACTTCACCTGATTTATCTAACTCGTTAATTTTTCTCTTGATCAGTACAAGCTTGAACAAGGGACTATCTGGTTGCCTAGAGGACTCACTAAAACTCATTGGCTTAAAACAGCTTGTTTAGTCTCTGTCATGTGTAGCACCGTCGGAGGAGCTTGTCTAGTGGTACAGATGTTTAACGATGTTGCCATTCGAACAGCGACAGTTGGAGGATCACTACTAATTGAATGCGTGTGCCTAAGGTTAGCTATTGTCCTGTTAAGCATTTCATAACTTGAGACGTTACAACAAGATAAGAAATTTAAATACAAGGATTGTTGTTTGATTGTACAAATAAATATTTTGGGGAAATATGAATCATAAAATGACTTTGGCTATTTACTTTGATATGATCAAATTTTATCATAAATTTTTCTACCTAAACTTTGTGGAATTTTTCAATTAAAATGACCTTGTTTACTATTATAATATCACAGAGTTTATCCTACATTTTTAACACAATGTTTTGAAATTCTAAGGCAACTCTTTCGGGATATAGTAAAAAACAGCACAAATAATTGTTTCTAGACGTCTTCAAGTTGATGAAGTCCATTATAATTTTCAAGATAAATTTTTACTTCTGTTAAATGTTTATTTAAATATCTCTTACTTAGATTTCCACATTCTTGAATGATATTTAAACCAAAGTTTGCATTAATAATTTAGAGTTAAGCATGCAGATAATCTGTAGATTTCTTTTGTGTACTGATATTACTTTCTTTTATACATAATTAACTACATTTGTGGTTAAATTGTTTTGGTTTACTTAGGCTCCTTGGATTCAGTTTTTTGACTGCTTACCACCGAGCAAAGATTTCAACAGTTAGTATCCTTGGAAATAAGCCAGCAGCTATTCCTACAGTGTTGGGTGTAAAGACCAAACTTGTCATTCCAGCCGAGCCACAATGCAGCACCGAGATGGGTACATCTGATGAAAAGACTTCTCTTGCTGTTCTAACAAATCCAAAGGATGTTGATGTTGCTATAGAAACAGAAATATAGTAATCCTGTAAGCTTTTGTTATGTTTTAATATGTTTGTGTGTGTGTGTGTATTTAATATACTTTTAACATTTTCCTTCCACATCTGCCGATAAGTGTTGCAGGGAGATACAGTTACCATTTCAAAGCAAGGTGAGAGGCCTGGGTTAGTGTAAGGCTGTGTTTGTTAAGAACCTCAGTCACACTATTGATCTGTCTCATAGTGGGTTACACTCTTGCTCTGAATCCTGGTATTTGTGTATTTATTGGTTGGGCTGCTTTCTTAATATGTGGCCAAACCACTTAATTCTTTGCCTCTCATTGTATTTGAAGATTTGGGACATTCCAACCATTTCTCTGACCTGTACATTTCTGATCTTGTCTCTTCTAGTTATTTTGGCAGTGTATTTAATATATATTTGTGTGTGTAAATGAATTTAATTCCTGTCAAACAAAACAAAGCCTACTAAGAATTAATTACGTTTTATAAGAACTATTTATATATGCTAATGCAGTGGCATGTTGCTGCTTGTGGGTAACTTACTTATCACCTATATGTATATTTGGTTTACAGTGAATTCTCAATCATATATCAGTATAACATTGCTTAATGGGTGGAAGAGTATATCACAACTTTTTTTAATGAAGGATATTTAAATAGAAAGATTGTTAAATGATGTAGATCCAAGGAATAGGACATTTCATAAATGGTCAGTTTTCAGTGTTCTCCATGGAAGCAGAAGATGTCTCACATCAAAGCATTTAAACAACTACAAACTATGACAGATAAGCCATCGGAGAGGAGGGGGTACAGCTTGAATTGTTGCCCCAGACAAGTAGTTTCTGGGATAATTGTGATAGGTTTGAAGAGGTTTAAAACAAACATTAACAGATTTGGGATTACACTCTACACTTTAGAGCCATGGATACATTATAAAAATAACAAGTTATATTCCACTATTTGATTGGAGTAGGCCTCGTGTTTGTGGTGGGTGATGTTGACTAACTAGTTGCCTTCCCTCTAGTCTATCACTTCAAAATTAGGGATGGCCAGTGCAGACAGTCCTGAAGTAGCTTTGCTCAAAATTCAACACATAAAGGATTCAGAACATGTGAAGATTAATAAACTATTGATAATTTATCAGTGAATGTTAATAGTAGCATCCAACAACTTTACCAGTTATGATTCATATAGGTCTGCTGTATTTTTAAGCAACCTATTGAAAATGTATTTTCTTCATGGTTAACATACAAGTAAAGTTTTCTTAAAAGGAAAAACATTGGAAGGATGTTAACATAGCAAAGCTTACTCATTGGATTTTGAGAGGGTCCCTTCTTTAAGGACTTTACCCAAGACCAAAATTTCGTGGCTATAGCCATGAGCTATGAAACCATGACCAAAGCCATCCTGAAGAGTACTGTGAATCAGAAAGCCATCGTGATGAAGTTGTGCATATATCCTGCTATCACGAACAGTATAATTAACAAGAGTTTTTTTGAAATTAATGAAGGTTCCTAAATCAAATGTTCACAAGTTTCTAGCCACTTTTTAAAATGAGAACTATTTTCGTAGAAACATTGACCAAAGAAACCAGAATCACAGCAATCCCACATCATCTCTTACGTCTTAAAATCTTCAGATGCAACTCCGGACTTTTGTTTACCTAAACATACTTTTGGAATTGGTGCTCGTGTACAGTGGGTGATCTGTAAATAGTTTTTCAATGTGTATGGTTCGAGACTGACCTCACCCACCTATCATAATGTTAGCAATAATACAAAGTAGCCAATAAATTAATTATAGTTGATGAAAGAGCAAATATTCCAGAAACAGCAGAGGGCCTAAAACATCATTCTTCTAAAGTATGATTAGCCTTCAGTAGTAATGAGATAGTTAATGATTATTTTGTTTGTTAGTAATGCTAAATACATCTAAAAATGTATCTAGATTGTAAGTTTTTTAAAGAATAAAATATTCTTAACACTTCATTATTATTTTTATCTTTTTACTCACAACAATATAGTCAATTAATTTTTTTTCTCTCTCCACACAGGCTGAGAACCAGTGAAAGAAACTAATTCAAGTGTCCATAATTGGTTAAATTGGGCTGTCTTAACTCATTTGAGATGAGCTGAAGGCTATATATATATATAATACTGTAATAGAAGAGAGTTAAAAGTACATTAATTTCAATATGTACATCAGAAAGAATGTAATATTTAGCATAAATTGGTGGCCAAGCTAGAGATGTTGGTTAATTTCTATTCAATATTTATTGTGAAACCTATTGTATTTCTGAATCGATCACAAGCATTTATTTATGTGTGAAATCAAAAGAATATGCACAAGGCTAAGAAAAGTATTGTTCATTTTAGACATTATGGGAACTGACTAGAGATTCTTTCTCACATTTTCATGTATTCTTCTGGGATTTACTGACTATTTCATGGCGAGTGTCAAGTGCTGGTGAATGGGAAACACTCGAGAAGTACCTTAATTGTTCAGAAAGTGTTATTAAAATCAGTTTTTCGTCATTACGCTGTATACAAGTTTTTTCTTTACAGAGTAATTTAATCTTCTCTATTTAAGCTTTTTTTTTGTTGGGATTTTAAAAATATATAGAGAAAAGCTGGGGATTTTCTAAAAAGAATTATTAATCTTGACTTTCTATTTTGGTGTTCTTTCTAATGTACAAAGCATTTATAATATATTGTTACGTTTGCATGAACGTTTATAACAGTTTCATACATCCATTGTTGCACTGTAAGATTTACAATACTGTTAACAGAATGTGTTTACTTTGACTCTTAAGTTCATACAATATAAGTATGTCAGGTGGGAAGGGGGGGTGTACAACCATTACAGCAGTATTGATAGATTATGTATTAAAAGGGTTACATTGAGTTATGATCACGCATCCTTGTTGATCCCCAACTTATAGTTTGTTACTGCATACTAAATCCAAACTTAAATTGCTGTAATGTTTTTTAGTGTAAAATTAAGAATTGATAAAGGGTTTTTGAAATTAAAAACTACTATATAATTATCGTCACTGAAAGACCTTAATTTTTACATAAGAAATCATATCATTTCTTTTTTTAAATAAAGTGTGATAAACTTGTTCATTGTTTAACGTGAAAAGAATAAAATTTTGATCCTATCAAATATATACATTGAGACAGTGATTTTATGAAAAATATGAAGTGTTAGTGATTCATGCCGCATGAAAAGATAACCAGTAGTGAACTAAGAAGGAATACTCTGTATATATGTTCTTATAAATTACACAAGTTTCATAGTATGCATCACAAAATATATTAGTTTTAAAGTCATCATGTTATATACTGTTTAGAACAAGTATTTTTTATATTTTGTGTAAAATTAAAATATATATCAATATATATATATAAGATTTTATACTTATATAGTTGGTATTGCTCAGTGTAGTTGTAGCTATTTGCTGGTTTTTCGGTGTAAACAAGGCCAATGGAATTAAAACTATTGTTTTAAAATAGTGTTGTCAACATGAAAGTTCAATTAGGAAACTTTTTGGTTGGGTCCAAGAGATATTGAATTTGAATAATATGATATTCCCAGACAGTAAAAGTTGTACATTAAAGTATAAGATACAAGACACTCAAAAGAGTTATCTTTTGTCATCTCTGTAGTTGTAAATGTTTTAACTATCCAAGTAATTTATGAAATTTGTCTGATAAACGCAGAACTTAAGAATCAAGATGAAGGAAGTGTTAGTAGCTTGCGACAAGTCATCAAATAAGTATACTCTTTACAAGTACAATAAAAGATGTTTAGTTTTTATAAAGACAAGTAGGGATCGATATATACCTAACCTAGCTAGTTATGGTAATATAGAAAGTTTAATGCTACAAAAACTGAGTTACTTAAATTTTGCCCTACTTTGCCAAATCACTGTAATTATCTTAGTCTAAGCCAGAGTAGGGATAATTTGTTTTTAAGTTTAAGTAATTTAGTTTTTGTATTTTGACTTTCTTGTTTCAGTACTCTTTGTAGTATTAAAACTTTCTATATCACTGTAGTTAGCTAGGTTATAAATATATATATATATATATATATATACGATCCTCAGATACTAATTAATGTGTCCGTTAGTGCATAGTCTGTTATTATATATATATATATATATATATATATA